TCTTGAGGGAGGGTCTCACTGTTCCCAAAGTCCCTAGTTCAGGCTGGCTTTGAACTCACTTTGTAGCTTAGGCTCGTCTTAAACTCCCAGCAATTCTCCTGCAAGAGCCACCATGCCTGGTTCTCCTTTTTTTTTTTTTTTTTTTAAATTGTGGAGGAGTTTTGACTCTGAAATCTTTCAACTCTTTCATCTAAGTTTTGTGTTACATTCCTCTTCATTTCTAAATAACTGTGTTTTTATGACTTGATATTTCCATTTCTGATTTCAGTAACGTCTTACTGTGGTGAATTTATTTCTTTTACATGCCACACTAATCATAATAGTGATCCATTTGTCCCTAATACTGATAACTCAGTATAAACACATCATACATTTTGGTTTTTTTTTAAAAAAAAAAAAACAACTGTTGTTTGATTTATTGTGTCTATGTAGCACCACCAGAGGAGCATATTTCTTTTTCTTGAATCGTATTTTTAGAACTAAATTCTTTTTTCTTGGCTCTCTGCGAACTGATTTTTTTATGCTCAAAGTTTCTGAAAAGTATTTATAACTTTGTCTTAGCCACTTTCCTATTACTAGAACAAAATAACTGACAATATAAAGGAGGAAAAGTTTATTTTGGCTCATGGTTTCAGTGGGTTCAGTCCATGATTGGCTGGCTCCAAGGCAGAAACAGCACATCAGAATGGCAGGACGGAGGAAAACTGTTTACCACATGGCAGCCAGGAAGCAGAGAGAGCAAGAGAAGAAAGGAGCCAGGGAAAATGCCCCTTTCCATGTCATGCCTTCTCTGACCCACTGCTTCTCACCAGGCCTCATATTGGGATGTGATAGTTTGGGGGACACTTCAGTTACAAACCATGACACCTTTTATTATGTTCAGCTATGAAATAATAATTATTATCTAATTATCATCAGTGATTCTGCCTGGGCTTGGACGTGCCCTGCCTGTTGCTCTCACTGTGGTGAAAGCCTTTTCTTCTGCACATGCCCAGTTGCTCTGATCCACTTTATGACCATAGCTGTCACATATTGAGGAGGACATAACTGCTGATTCCTCCTCCTATTTCCAAGATTTCTCCTCTTTTCAGTCCTCCCATAGCAGAGTAATGCTTTTTGCCCATTTTTTCAAGACCAAGAACTAAATACTCTTCAGTATTTGCCTTTTCCCCACTGTCTATGGCTGTTCCCGGTGAAACCATGAGCAAGTCCTATTGATTCCAAATATATCCTGTGTCTTTTCTTCTTTCTCCACTTTTACTGCATCCACCAATCGGTTTCCTTTGCGGTGTTCTTCTCCCTACTATGCCTCACCTCCCATGGTCCTATAGCAGCCAGCAAGTTCTTTTAAAAGCATAAGGCACAGTGACATTTAAAACTCTCCAATGTTTACCATTGTACTTAGAATAAAACCTCAGTTCCCCATGGCATATGGTCCTTCTGCCTGTGGAAATTAATCCTGGCCAGTGTTAGCTTCGCTGGGGCATTTTTATTTTTTCCTTTTGTGTGTTGAGGATTGAACTCAGGGCCATCACACTGAGATAAATCCCAAGTCTTTTAAAAAATTTTGTTTTGAGACATGATTCTGAGTAAATCACGAAGGAGATCTTCCTGCTTTAGCCTGCCAACATGCTGGGATACAGACAGTGCCTCCATGCCTGGCCACCAGTGGAACTTTTGAGAAGCTCTAAACTTGAGTCCAATTAAATTAGAATGCTTGGGGATGTGGCTCTACCATCAGAATTTTTGCGTTTCTTGGTGTCTCTGATGAACACTCAGGGTTCACAACTGTGGCTCCCTCTTCATATCATCTCCCTGCTTCCCTGTTGTCACACTAGCTCTGGTGAGTACATTTTCTTTCTGTATTTGAGCCTCACACTTACTCTGGCCTCACAGCTTTTTCATTGGTTCAGTTTCTGTCAGGAAGTTTCTTGCTGCACACGTTTTCATGGCTGGTTCCTTTTAGCTTCTCAGAGAAGCTTTCTTTGATCACCTCGCCCAATGGAATGTTCCGTATTAGCAGCCATTCTCTGCCATGTTACTAGTGCTTATTAAATATTTGCTGAACGGTTGTGTATGAAGGAGAAGAGCCAGGTGGGGCTTTAGTCAAACAAGCCAGGAAGTGTGCTGTGGCTGGGGAGATATTTGGACAGATGAAGTGAAATTAGTGGGTAGGAGCGCCTTGAGTGATAGTGATTTATAGAAACCAGATAAAGTAAGTCATTTTCCACAGTGAAATCAGGAGCTCTGCTATTTTCAAGATAGAGAAGACAGATTCCAGGAAATCCGAGGAGACTTGTCACCTAACTGGAAGAGTAACCTTAGTACAGAATGACTTCTGGTATTCCCCATGGCTACTGTAAGCTTAGCTTTTGAGCTGGGCCTGGTGTTCCTTGCGTACAATCCCAACAATCTCGGAGGACGAGGCAGGAGATTTGCAAGTTTGTGCTCAGACACTGCAACTTTGTCACTTGGCGAGAAACCCTGTCTCCCGAAAAAACCCAAAACCTAAAATAAAGCAATAACTAACATTTTAGGACTGGCATTTCATCAAAGTGGAAGGAAGAATAGCCAGTTGGAATCACTACCCCAGACCATTTCTTTCCTTTTAATGATGTGATAATTTAAGAAAGCATCTGAGATTCCTCTGTGGCTTCACACTACCTGTTCATTAAAGCTGCTGAGTAATTCACTCTTTGCTATCTCTTTGCCTTGTGATGCTTTTTGAAGGCTAATGGCGTATCATATTTAATTATGACTAAATACTTGGGATTAATCCCAAAATTGTGTTTTCGCTTACACATCAAGCCATGTTGTAGTGCAGAAGTAGCGAGCAGGTTATGAGCCATTCACATATCCCTTACAGTTGTAAGCAGTTGAATTTATGGAGCTATGACAGTGAGGATATGATGGAAACCAGATACAGACAATGTTCTTTTTATTACCTGAAAATTTTATGCCAAGGAAAATGAGTGTTCATTTTTACAAATCCAGCATGATAATTTTGTGCTTTCTGAGTGTACACAATTCTAGAGAAACCCTGGAAAGTTAAAAGGAAAGTTTTTCTGAAATGACAGGTTTAGGAAGCAGGATTCTGTGATGAATGGCTGTGTGAGATACTGTTTACAGAAACACAGACACATTCTTCTCTGAAAGTGGATCAAAGTCTGTAGCGAGACATGTTGGCTTTCCAGGGCCTATAAAGATGAGAACTGCTTGGAAAAGACTGAAGTGTTGTTTTTCAGCTCAACCATTGGCTCTGTCCTTGATTCACAGTGAAGCAGAAACCAGACTTTCATGCAAGAACTGTTTCCATGTTGTAGCACAACCAGGCAAGTCCGTACCCTCAGGGATGAGTTCAGGTCTTTGGGCCCTGGGGCAAACTGGTAGACTTGCTGGCCTTCCTGTATTTGAAGTCTTGCACATTGCCATATGTACTGGTTAGATTTGTATTGCTGGGATTTTAAAATTCCTGCCATGCACAATTCAAAAGATGCAGGATTTATTACCATTTTAAAGGTTTCAATCTGTTGTTGGCTGCTCTAAGACAGAACTATAATGGCAGAAGGTCCAGAGGAGGAAGACTGCTCAACTCAAGGCAGGCAGGAAGCAGAGGAAAGGCCCAAGACGAAGGGGCCATGGACCAGAGATACAGTCCCCAAGATTGGGCTGCCCTGCATGACCCAGAAGTGCACCTTACTCAGCTCCTAGGTGTGTGTCTCTCAAGCCAGTTGACAGTCAAGATTAACTGTCACCGTATTGACACCTGGGGGCAGAGTTTCCTGTTTAAGTATCTCCCTCAACTGTGTGCCTCCCTGTAGACCCCAATTCCATAGCAAAGTACCCCACTGCTCCCAGCAAAAAGCTCCAAGTCACATAAATGTTAGGGGTCCCCCAATAATTTAAAATCCATGAAAACAATTGAAACTGTGTCCAGCTAAATACAATATATTTAGACCATATATAACATAAATTATATATGCTATAACTATTTCTGGCTGTATATAACTGTAATCTATGTAACTATTTTCTGGTTGGTTAAATATAGAATAGACTACAGGAGGGTTTATTGGAGATGCCTGAAATCCTAATTAGTTTTTGCATTGGGTCACTGTATGCAGGTATCCTGTGTGTGTGTGCTATTCCCAAGATGGTTTTCCTGGGCAAGATGACCACATCGATGTCTTAGTTGATGGGTGTGGGGGTGAGGAAAATTATTTCAGTGGAGTATCCATATTGGGTGTTCAGTAAGTGTTTTCTATAAGGTATGTGCAGATAGACACATTAGTACTTTCTTTATAAGAAAAAGGGTGAGAAGTTGTCATGTATACATGTCTATTAAGTTTTTAAAAGGAAGTACAGTTTTTGCCTAAAGCCTCAGCAAAAATCTCAAATGTTTTCATTGGTTTAAAATCCTTTTAATGCTTATAGTATTATTAAAATCATTTCAGATGTTTTACCCTGTGTTTGAATATGGTACAAATGTTTCATAGATAAGTTTTGCTACTCCAGTTCAAAATTAATCCGGAATGGTAGCTCTTATCCTGGGAATGCACAAGAATGAAACTGAGCAAATATAAATGGTCTTAAAATATCTATTTTAATAGTATAAGATGACCTGTAGAGTGTGCACAAGAAAAGTTCATGTTCATTCATGCACACACACACAAAGGACATCTGTTGAATGACTACAGGTGTTAATGCATTAGGAGCTTGGATGTGTTCTCTTTTTTGTTCTTTCTCTGAAAGAATAGAGATAAGGAACAGAAATAATTCACTTGGTTCTAAGTGAATAGGATTTTAAAGCCTCTAGATGTTAAGACAATACAGCTCTAAAATAGACCTGAACTTTATCATGGAGTATTGCTTGTATTCTAGGAAATTATCTGTATATTGTCTCTTGGATTCCATCTGAGTGTTAACAGAACATAGAAGTATATATTGCTAGTATGTTATTCCAGAAAACATAAAAGATTTTGTGTTCTCTTATACCCTGACAGGTTGGTACAGAGGCTATACCCTCCAGAACAAATCCAAAAAGGTATGTCTCATTTAATTTTTCATTTCATTCAAACTCTTGTCTCCAGGCAGTCCTATCCCCTTATCTGTTCTTGCTAGCCCTTGTCAGTCTGGTTGGACTTTTGTCTTTGTTTTCTTTGGAGCTTCTGTTCCCTTGTTAACTAATGCTCAGACCTCAGTGCTTCAGAATATTAGTGTCTTTTGTTTACAGATCAGAAATCCCAGAATTTAGGGTCTCCCGGTCACCATGTGATTCTTTCCTATCTTATTAAGTTGAAAAACAGTTTCCAAACAGCCTTGTAACCTCAAAACATCATGAAGTCAACACAGCAAATTCTAACATTTGCCAAAAAGGAAACTGAAAGTGAAGAAAATGAATTGCAGTGGGAAGTATTATGAAACCTTTATATTAGATAAGTATTTTCATGTATTTCATGCATTTTTATTTTCTTCTATGCATTTCCTCTAATACTGATAAAAATGATTATTCATCGTGGCAGAGTTTGAAAAATACTGACATAGATGATTCCTTTTCGGAGTGTCGAACCTACTAAACATCAAGCTAAAGAAAATCCATTAGTTATGTTAGTAGCCACCTCGGGTTGTTTTATTTCCATCAGCACTTTTCCTTTGAATCTGCTTGCTGGGGCAACATAGCATGTCAGCACTTTCTTTTGAAAGAGCAGAGTTGATAAGCTCTTACTATTTCACAGTTAGTTCACATGCCAGATAGAGAACTGAGAAAGGGGTGAGAGACATACTGTTTACATCACCAAGGAGAGAAAAAGGAAGACCCTGCGCTTCTTTTGCTTCAGGTGCAGCATGAGCTAGGTTATCCTGTACAGGTGGGCTGACGTTGAGCGCCTTCAAAAAGAGCATGAGGCCCTAAAAATCTGCTCTGTAGAAGGCAAAGGCTGTGAAAAACTGAGTCTGACTGAAGTCATTGATTCCTTGGTCATGCTCAGTATTTGCATGTGTGCTCGCACACACACCTCATGTTTGCTGTGACAGTGCAGTAATCCAGTGAGCCCGGGGACTCTTCTGTGGATACGGATGCCTCCCCCTCAGTTTGGATCCTTCTGCCCTTCTCTAACCCCTGATGCTGAAGCTCTCTACCCCATTAGATCCTTTCACATTGTTACTTTGGAATGAATTGCTTCCACTCAGTGTCTTGCTGACTTCAATGTGTCTGAGCTTCCTGATGGAGACCTAAGGTGGCAGGTGTGCTGGGGTGTGGAGGGCTGTGTAGGGGTGTAGAGAAGCCTTGGGCCTGGCATGACGACTCCTGCTTGGTTTAGGTTTAGCCCACTTGGTGTAATTTTACTCACAGTTATGGAAGTGATGGTTATTTTACAGTAGACTAGGAGTTCGTGGTTACAATGTCCTGGAATTCGTTAGAGAGTAAGAAAACTCCGGTCACTGAATTCCTATTCATGTTTTTCTAAATGAATTTAAAAATTCTCAGACAAAATCAGGTGAAACACACACATAGAATTCTTGATTTTGCATGTGTGTGTCTCACTGGTACTGGGGAGTTAACCCAGGGCCTTTGCACTGAGCTGCATCCCTAGCCCCTTAAATTTTAAAGCAAGGCTTTACTAAGTCACTAAGTTGTCCATGCTGGACTCCAACTTGGAACCTTCTACCTCAGCCTCCCAGAGTGCTGGAATTACAGGTATGTGTCCACCACCCCCAGCTAGAATTCTTTGTTTTTAACGGGTATATGTCATACATGTGAAAACAAGGTCCCAGATTCCAGGGCTTCCCTTTCAGAGTTTGCAGTATGTGAGGAATCTTTCCAGCATGGAAGACCTTGGTTTCCAAGGTATCCCATAATTTCCTAGTACATCTAAATCCATCTTGCAGTGCCCCACTACCTGATATGAACAGTACATAGATGGGCAAAATGCTGACCTCAGTTTACCTGAGTTCTCTGTGTGCTTTTAATTTCTAATATTCATTAACGGGTTCTTAAAACTTTATTGAAATAAAAAATTCACCATTTAGAAGAATTATTTCAGCAAGAGCCCATCTTTGCTCTTGATTACTAAAGAACAACTTCATAATGCAGTGATGTGAGGACAGAAACAAAGATCAGGCACTGATGTGTTGATTTTTTTTTTAAGTCGAAATGTATGTTTCTGTTGTGGAGTAATCCAAGAAAAACTGGAATTGAGTTGAAAACCAGTTGTCACAATTACACTCTGCTTGTGACACCCCTTCATTAAGAGATGCGGCCCGTTAGAAACGCTCTCCTTAGGCTGCATCCCTTTTCCTCTGTCTCAGGGGAAAAGCTACTTGAAAGGCCTATTGTTTTAATGGAAATTTTTGATGTCATTTATAAGCAGATGGATCCATTTGGGGTGCTGATGAAGGAGCTAGCGGCTTCACAAATGGCAAAAGCTCTGCAGAAACGGATTTGATTGATCCTGCCAGGACTGAGAGAGTGTGGTCAAGGACAGCTTCTGGAACATCATTAGCTTATTTATTTATTTTTATTCAAGCAAGTAGGTTGCATGGAGAATGAAAAGCAGACTGGCGAGAGAGGCCATAAATCAGATACATGTTTAATGACCCAGGTCAGCTGTTTCTTTCTGTGGATTAAAGTGGGATAGGAAATGTCTCCAAGCCTCTGATTTATACCAGTGCAGTTAAGTGACTTTGAGTGCCCAAGTGCTGTATGGCATGGAGACACCTACAAAAGATAGGGTGGTGAATGACAGAATGAGTAGTCTGACCATATCTGTACACCATTATAAGCTATCTGCTGAAGTTTGGCTTAGGTGTCACGAAGCCATCAGTTTATATTTCTGAATGCTGCTATCTTTGATGTCTCACACTTATTAGGAGGAACAATCATCAGATTATGAAACCATAATCGACTCAATAATCAACCAGTTAATAGTCATAATGAGGGCCTGGGGATGTGGCTCAGTGGTAGAGCTTGTGCCTTGATGTACAAGGTCCTGAGTTCAACCCCAAGTACCACACACACACAAAGTAATAATCATAATCAGTCTAACTGGCTTTTCACCTTAACGACTTGGAAAGTTTCTGCAAGAATATTCCTTTGAACTTTTTTTTCTGGCACTGGGAATGGGCTGCAGGACCTTACGCATGCTCAGTACACCGCCAACCCCAGCAATGTTGAGTTTCACTTTAATCTTACAGCTGCTAATTTAAGCAGCTCATCCCAACTAAAAGCCTCCCTTTTAAAGAATTTTGGACTTTTTAAAAAACTGTGGTTTTCAAAAAGTCATAAAGTTTGCCACCTTTGCCATGTTTAAGAGGATAGTTGCGTAGCACTGAGTGCAGACACATTGCTGCGCCCATAACCACCCTCCATCTCCTGAAGGTCTTCATCCTCCCAAACCCAAACTCAGCATCCTGTCCCTCCAGCTACCAGCAACCCCAGTCTGCTTTGTGTTGGTGATGCTGACTGCCCCCAGTGCCTCCCTCAGGTCCTTTGGTGACTGGCTTTTTGCGCTAAGCATGATATTCTCAAGGTGCGTTCTGGACCTCTGAGTCTGGGTCTCCATGATGGCAGTCACCAAATCACTGGCCTCAGCACTGGGGACAGAAAGCACATGCCCATTTCCTTCTGCATCCTAGAAAGAGTTATGGAGCTTCTGGACTCCAGAAATCAGGCACCAAGTGAGTTATATGCACACCCTATCTGAATTTTTATTTGTAACTGATCCTTTTCACAGAATCACTCTGTATTCGGTACCTGTAATGAAAGACCTCAAGGTCACCTTGTCTATGTGTGGGTTATTGGTCTTAGCAATTATGGGATAGACAAAGACCTTTTTCACTTACTCATCCCCCCCTGCCTTAAAGGTAGACAGAGAAGCATACAATTTCTTACCTTTTTTTTTTTTTTTTTTTTTTTTTCCTCCCGGTTTTGTCTTCCTAGTTAGAAAAGAATGGGCCCTTTCGCTTCTGCCTTGAACCGTTGTAGGATCCACTGTGTCATCAGCAGCGCTAATCCCAAATGTTCTTGGTGTTTCCTGTTTTATTGGCAGAGGATGAGAAGGGAGAGTGGAGAGTCTTGTACAGACAAAAATAGCGCATGAAACTGGACCCAGAGCAACTCTGTTAGCATTCACTCCCATCTCTGAGTGGGTGGAGGATCATGAGGTGCACACAGACCTTGAACCTCCGTCCCCTGCATGGTGGGGACCCCCCCCCCCCATTGTGGTCAGTCACTTCGACATGTGCTTATGTGCTATCCTCAGAGTTCATGCCAGGTCTTCTGCAGGTGAGGCTAGGAGCATCTGAGCCAAAGTGCACCTGAACAGGTTCTCCTGTCTCATCTGATCTGGCACAGAAGCTATACTAACGCACAGTGTCTCCCCCAGATAGCATGTTCTCTCTCGCTTTAAGAGCCTATGACTCAGTGAGACAGCAGAAGCTTTTGGTTTATCGGAAAACCTGTGTACACGACGCTTGTCCTGTTGCTGGACCTAAGAACCAAGGGGTTCTTTAGTCTATATCCAGGACTTCTGTGTCATTTCTTAGGTCTTTCTGGGCTTTAGAGTCCCCCTGTGAGCAAATGTCATGACACCAATGTTGAACTGCTTCTTATGGGGAGAGAAAGGAGCACAATTTGAGACTGTGACGTGCCAGAGATAATTGGGTAACTGATCCCAGTGATTCAGGGCATGTGGGGCTTAAGTGAAAGTGCTAAAAGAAAAATTACTGGGGAAAATCATTATAACTTCTGTGGGTGACCAAGTCCTGTGTGGCTCTACCTCTCCTTCACTCTGTGAGGTCCTTGAAAAATGAGGAGGCTCTTGAGAAACATTGGATCTGAGCCCACAAGAGCAAGACCACCTCTTTATTTATGAAACACTCCTTCTGAGTCCAAAGTCCTCCCTTTCCCACGTTCCTGCCGAGCCTGTGATGGGGGAGCCGTCCGTGTCACTGATCTCCCACAAACCTGGTAGAAGCATTTTCTGTCATGAAGGTGTTGCCGGTCACTTGCTGCCGTTCACGCTCTTGACTTTTGAGGTTTTATTATGGCCGCGTAACCAGAAGTCCTTCTCTCTGCAGGGTATTTTCCCTGAGACGTACATCCATTTGAAAGAGGCCACTGTGGAAGACCGAGGGTGAGTTCCAGTCTAGGAAGACACATTGTAAGATTTTCATGATGCTTTGCCTGCCACACAGTGCTGCTTCTCTCTTCTCCCCAATTACTTCTCTTCTGTGAGAAAAAAATGAATAAAAACTTCTTGGTATGATGCTTTCCTCTGTCTTCTCTTTTCACCCTCTTCTTTCTAGCATTGTTTTCCAGAAGAGTAAAGATAGCAGCAGTGAGCCGAGGGCCTTCATCTCTCTCTGTGTGTATTACCTGCTCCCTCTGTGTGTGTGTGTGCGTGCATGTGTGTGCCTGTGGGTCCATGTGTAAGTGTATTTGCACACAGGAACATTTAGGACTCTTTGGGCTCTAAGGAGCCCACAGTTCAGGACCTTTGTAAAACAGCACTGAGGAAGCACTAGCTTACTTGTCAGTGCTGAGCTCTGGCCATGTCATTGAGCCTCACGAGCTCCCTGGGGTTAGGAGTAGGACTGGAGTCCCGTGGCTGATAGAGAGGAGAGTGGGGCTGGAGGAGAAATGGACAGCTGGGGTCACAGTTTTGTAGCCTTAATCTAAAAGATCATTCTTGGTCCTAATCTCTGCACCCACATTTTAAGATGGGAAGTGGAGACACACTTTGGTCCACACAACTCCCTGGTGGCAGAACGAGGACCAGCGGCTGGGTCTCGTGTCCCCCTGGAGAAGTCTTCCCAGCTGGCCATGCCCAGGCAGTCTCCAGTGTTACTTACCATGTGGGTAGAAAGGCAGAGTGGGGGGGCTTTTCCATGTAATTAGGGTTGCCAGATGGAATGCAGAATGCCCTGCCATTCAGATACCAAGTACAGATGCTGCTTGGCTTGGGATGGGATTATATCCCTATAAACCCATTGAAAGTTGCAAATATCATGAATCAAAAAATACATTTAATACAGAAACCAACCAAATGCCATAGCTTAGCCCAGCTTCCTTCAGTGCTTAGAGCACTTCCAATAGCCTGCAGTTAGGTAGAATCCTCTCATACAAAACCTGTTTATAATAAAGTATTGGAGACCTCATGGAATTTATTAAATGTTCTACTGAGAGTGAGAAAGATAGTAGCTGCATGAACCAACTTTTAAATCCTAATAAAATTGTAATGTTTCATGACATTTCTAGACATTAGACATTTCTAGACAGTTAGACATTTCTAGGTTGTTCACTTTTATACCTCAGATTTACGCTCATGTGGGCATCCTGTGTTTGAGGTATTAGTCCACTGTTAGTACAGCTCTTTCCACTTCTTCACTTGCTCTTGCTTTCTCTCCTCCTCCTGCTAGTTGAGGAATCACCAGAGAGGACTTGTGTGGCTAAATGTAGTATTGCATCTGCTATAAGCAAGGACTTTAGTATATGCACATTTTCTACCTTATGAAACAGCAGATGATAAGAAAATCCAGTCCACTGCAAAAGAGCACCCCTCCTCAGTCCCTTCCAGCAGGGTGAGGGTGAGGTGACAGGTCCCAGGACCCTGTCCACCATGTGCTGAATAAGGCAGCAGTTTGATGGAACCAGCTATAATATTGAATTATTTTGCTTCCATCTCTGAGACTTGCTCAGGACAGCCTGGCTCAGTCATTGAGGTTCCTAGAGAGAGACACGGAGAGGTAGAGTCAGCCTGTGGGCTGATTGAACTCTTTTTTTTCAGCTGCTAAGGTGTGTTTAGGTCCCCTACCATACACCCACCTTGCCCACCCCCATGGACAGATCTAACTTTATTGTGAGACAAAGCAGCCCCATTCCTGCCCTTGAGTATCAGGGAATGTCACTGTCAGAGTACCATCTCCAGTGGCCCCGCAGCAAACTGAACTTCTGTTGCTTCTCATCAGGCAGCACGAGACAGTGATTCCCGGCGAGCTCCCGCTGGTGCAGGAGCTCACGTCCACGCTTCGAGAATGGGCTGTCATCTGGCGCAAGCTCTACGTGGTGAGTTGCTCTGGGCTTTTGGCTGGCAGTGGTGTCATTTCTGGCTTCTCTGCCTGTGGTTCCACTGCTGAGCAACCTCTGTGGGGTGTCAGCCCCTTATTAGCTCTCTGTAGGGAGTGGGAAGCAGAGACACACAGCCACTGGCAGCCAGCTGCCTCCATGTCCCCCCTTTGGATCACTGGTGTGCCATCATGGTGGGAAGTGAGTGCAATCACTAATTCAGTCTTTTCGCTGCTGAGCAACTTGCTCATTGTGAAGCTAATCATGACAGCAGTAACAGTGAGCTCTTTTCCCTTCTTCCCGAGTGCCCTGAACTGTGAATCCTCTCAATACTTCTGTAAAGTAGTTGTGATTGGAATTATTAGTATATCAATCCCTATTGATATACATCTCCATGTGCACCGGTGAGTAGAAACTGCAAATGTTTCAGTGCTCAGCCTCCTGAGCATTTTTAACTGAGGCCATGGTACAGACTCAGAAACCTGAGTAGTGTTAACCCCTGGTAGGGCGGACTTCCAAGTACTCTTTCTCACAATACTGGCCTGACCTCAGAATGCCAGTGTGATCCTCTGGCTCAGTGGGAAATTATGCAGCACCTGGCACACCCTGTCTGCAACAAATCACAATCACAGTCGCGTTTAGGTTTGCAATGGGAACTACTATAGTGTGGTTATGGTTTGTCCCCTTTGAAACTCACACAGGAGTTCCATCCCCATCATGAAGTATTAAGGGTGTAGAAATGTCAACCAACTAGGATGTTTAGAGGTGGTGACTTTGGGATGTGATTAGCATGAAATTATCAGGATGGAGCCTTCAGGATTGCATACTGCTGGTTTTAAAAGAAGCAGGAGTGAGACCAGAGGAGCCACACATATGCACTGTCTGGCTCTCACCTGCGATGCCCTGTACCACGTCAGGACTCTGCCAGCCAGAAGCAGAAGGCTGTCACCAGATGTGGGCCCTCAACCACGAACCAGAGCCAGAACCAGAACCCAGTGTGTAGGATTGTGTGATTATGGGGCGGAAGAAAAAAGTAGACTAGGACAAGGCCCTTTAAATCTAGCACTTCCCATCCCAGGCTGACAAAAGCTCTTCTGTAGGCAGCCAAGGGTAGCCAAGGGTGCTCAGTAGCTGCTGGTACCGTGCCCAGTCCCTCTGCAGGGTGGGTGCTTTCCTTTCATCCTCAGATGCCGCAGACCGTCTTCTGCAGTTCCTTCTACCCTGGAGACCTCAGCGGCAAGCACACAGGCCTCGCCTCTGTAACTGGTTTCCACAGCTGACCAGATTCCAGCTCCAAATGTGCATTCTCTTGTTAGGGGTACAGTTGAAGCTGGCGACGTACACTACATTGGGTGGCTTGGGAGCTGTTTGCTTTCCCCGATGTGATTTTATGTTATATGGGATTCTGTTTGGTCATCTCTTGATGGCTTAGGTTTTAGTTTCTTTTCTTTTTTTTCTATTGGTACCGGGGATCGAACTCACGACCACCTGCTTGCAAGGCAGGTGCTTATGCCGCTGAGCTAAATCCCCAGCCCCCCTCTTTTCTTTTTTCATCTTAGTACGTTACTCGAAACACCCCTTTCTGGATCCTGCCTAACTAAATGCAGGAGTCAGAAAACCAGCTTTGGGTCCAGCGAAACTTCTAAGGGTCTGTGCAGGTATTTCATTTCCATTTATGGCTCTTTTATCCCTTGACAAGCAATAGGGTAGAAATCACTGACCACTTAAGTGGAACGTCCAGCGCGGTTTCTTGGAGGCCTCCTTCAAGTCCTTTGTTCTTCATAATGTGCGTCCCCCACACACCAATCCATAATGCTTTCTCCTGGACCGTGGGCACTTAACTGCTGAGTCCATCACATGACGCTGGGGCACACGGCCGTGTAATGCAGGTGATCTTTGATCTCTTTATGTTCAGTTGAGTAGAGAGCTGACTCTGAGTTCCTAAATCATAAGCTCCGGGAAGAGGAAGATAGTGCTGTCAGACCTGTGGCCACCATTGATCATTTTGCACTTAAGTTGAAAGCATTCTCCGGTTTGGTTAATTGATTATTTAGTGGCAGGCATAACAAGGCTGATGGATGAGGGGCATGTGCTTGGGTTCATTTCCTAACATCTTTCTCTGAGAACTGGTGAGTGAGGATAAGCACAGGTGAAACGAAACATCCCTGCCTTGTCTGTTTTCTGTTACTCTAAGAAAACACTGGAAACTGGGTAATTTATAAAGAAAAGAGTTTAGGGCCAGGGAATTAGCTCAGTGGCATAAGCACCTACCTGGCAAGCATGAGGTCGTGAGTTCGATCCCCAGTACTGCAAAAAAAAAAAAAAAAAAAAAAAAGTTTAGCTCACAGTCCTGTAGATTCCAGGGCATGGTGCCCAGCATTTGTTTGGTTCTGGTGGCGGCCCCCCCATGGTATGAGTGTGGGAGAGCTCACATGGCAATACAAAAAAGCCAGAGAGTGGGAAGGGTCCTTGCTCTTTTTATGGCAGCCACAGTGAGATAACCAACAAGAGTGTCAGTTCCTTCCTGTGGTAGTGCCCTTGTGACCCCCACAAGACCCCACCCTTTAGAGCCCCCACCATCTCTGAAGGTCATTAGACTCAGGCCCTTGTGTCCAGCAAATGAACCCTGGAGGGACCAGTGCATCCAATGTGATAGCCCAGCCACTGCTACTCCTTTTCTGAAAATCCAACATGCAGACGGCTCCAAACCCTGAAACTTTTTGAGTACCTAAGTGACACAAGTGGAAAATTCCACACCTGACCTCACGTGTGAAGTTTTGTTTCATGCACAATATTAAAAATACCATATTAAGTGACCTTCAGGCTGTGCATACAAAATATATAGGAAGCACCCAGAAGTTTGTGTTTAGACTTAGGTCCCCGCTCCCAAGATATCTCATGGTAGGTAAACAGGACCTTTAGTCCCAGGTATTTTGAATAAGGGATATTCAGCCTGTATTTGAAAAGGAGATTTTTTTAAAGTGTCAGGTGTAAGAGTAGAAACTATGAATGAGGTATGCTTGTTTCTTGCTAAACTACAGCCTTTGTGCCTGATTTCTTACTCTTGGTCTTCACATGTGCACCGGTCACTGGGTGTAGAACTGGGAAGTAAGGAAATGGGAAGGAAAAACAGGGCTGGGTTGTTAGGGCTGCTTTTCAATCCCTTAGTAGTTACATAATGGTGGTAAGTGGTTGTCGAGGGCTTCCCGTGTGGGAATTCCCTGCTTAACACCAGGATTGGGTGTTAAATGGGAAGTGAAATACAAAGAAGGAAGGAAGGAAATCGGGCAAGGAAGGAAAGAGAAAGAAGGGGAGCAGAGAGGAAGAGGCCAATCCTTCTTTACAGAGCAGCACATTTTGCATCTTAATTTAGATATCTCATGGAATAATCATTTTGTTATTTGTGAGTGTTTGGAATTGTCTTGTAGCTGCTGCTGATTGACTGTGAAGATTGTTAATCAGCCAGTTAGGGCTGAGTAAGTAGTTTGCTTCTGGTTTTAATCCATGTTTACCCGTTAAAGGAATAATCCACTGACAGAGAAGAGTTGTTTAGCATTCCTTTTTTCTTTCCTAGTCCATTTCAAATACATTGGCGGTTCATCTTGGCCACAATTCCTGAACTTCTTTCTTAAAAAGTTGCACGTGAAAGTAGCAAACCTCAAATCTGTTTCAAGGGGAAATGGGAAAAGGAAACCAGACCTCCAGTTTGGGTGTCCCCCCCCCCATCTCTTTTTAGTGTTTTGTATTCTGATCCTGTAAGTTCCTGTAGTCCACGTAAAGATAAATACAGATTTTCCCAGCATACACTCATCCTTGAGCCCTGTCCCTCATCTATTTCTTCCCGCAGATGAAGGCCCAGCGTTCTGCTTGGTATCTAACAATTCCTGTGATGCCTGAGAAACCACATACTTCTCTTAAATGCATTTCCTGGTTCTGTCCTTTTCTGTTTCAATTCACAGGAAATTTATATTATGGACCCAGAGTCTTATAGCAGTCCACTAACGAGATTAAGCCCTGCTATGTAGACACTGGTGATTATTCTAGAGACAAAAGATGTTGTCTTGCTGTGATTTGTTTTCTGCAGTCATACAGTGGTCGAATGAAATCAGTATAAATATATTTCAAGGGCAGAGGAGTTCCCATGCAGAGGGAGACTCTTTGTCCAAAGCAGAAAGAAGAGATGACAGCTCCTCGTGTTCCCTCTGTTGTTCCTCTGTGTGTGTTTTGAATAACCAAGGTTATTCCGTTCTTTTTTCATTTTTATTGGTCATACAGGTTCATGGGTATCATTTTGGTGGATTCATAAATACTTTGATCACTATCCCCACCACCCCTTTTTGCCTTACCCTTCTCCCTAGTTTGACTTTGCAGGTTTGGGGGGCTTCAATGTATATATTTTTCTTGTATTCTTCTCCCCATGACTTGCCCTCATTCCTCATCCCCTTTCTTCTTTCCATCTTGTCTAATAACAGACTCTCATTAGCTTTTTTAGATTACTCGGATTGGGAAGAGCATATGGTATTTGTCTAAGTCTCACTTTTTTCCCTCACCATGATGTGTGTGTGTCTTTGTGTCTGTGTGTGTGTATTCAATACTAGGCACTGAACTCAGTGTTTTCTTGCTGAGCTATATCCATAGGCTTTGTTTATTTTCTTATTTTTGAGATAGGACCTCACTGAATCACCAGATTGCCCCAGGTTGGAATTGAATGTGCAGTCCTCCTGCCTTAGCCTCCCAAGTGCTGGGATTACAGGCATGCACCACGGTACCCACGATATTCCTGTTTTCTTTCTAGTGGATGTTGGCCTCGTGCTCCAGGGAGGGAACAGGCTGCAGGGGCCAGGGCTTTGCCTAGAATTCTGGAAGCTGGGTGCATGGTGCAAGCTCTGTCCCCATTAGCTCTGTGGCCCTGAATGAGTGACCTGAATTTTGTCCCTTTTAAAAGCATTGCATAGCTCCCTTGGGACCCCAAGACTATGAAAAGAAACAGTGGCTTTGAA